CTCATCTGACCACTTTCACCTTCTAATATGAAAATTCCCTACACTGAGCAGAGATAAACTCGTTCTCTTATCTGAGAGGGAGATAAACTCCCTACTTTAACTATTCTTCTTGGTAACCTAAGCTCATGTCTGCACACCCAAGATGGATTGAAATGCTTACTCTCCCTCTTCCCAAGGAGGACAACTTAAGATCAATTTCTTCCTGAGCCTTAACCTAATTCTCTATATCTGTAGCAAAACACTTTCCTAAGAATGTTGTTCTGCTCTTTGTACCATTTGCAAAAATAACCTGAAAACTTGTGCCTTTCTATTTTATCAACATGACTGCTAGCATTTTCTGCTGAATTTTGGTCAGGTGTTGACTGTTTAAGAAACTGAGTTTTAACAAAGTCCAAATTCACTAAAGTATCTATGTATGTAAGCCTTTTAAATAGCCACTTTGTTTTAGATATTTTTAATGCATTTGACATCCTAGGTCTGTGACGAGAAAGGTGTGGGCTATGTATCTAAGTGTTATCTAAATTATACATTTAGATAACACATGCAAATTGACCAGCAAGGACTCTCATTAATACAATGTACAAAATTTCATCTGGGCCTTATAAAAATGAGATATTTGTCATTCCTGCTATTTGTAATCAGTACAGTTCAGGTGGAAAAAAAAACAACTGGCATTTGGCAGTCCTGATGTTTAAAACCTGTCCTGCATCTACTTTTGTTTTGTTCATGGTACTTTTTGTAGGCTTGTGCCCATGTGCTCCTCATTGTGACATGACTAGCCATGCCCAAACATTACATGCCAAGAAACACCTCAATAATAATTGAAAGGGATCAGATGTTGCTCATCTAGAGCATGTATATGCACACAGCTGTGTTCTTTACACTAAAATTTTAAATGCATTCTGTAAAGATAATAAGGAGAGCTTGACAGTGCTGGTATAATGCTATCAATCATAATTATATAAAAATAGACTGTTTTGTCAATTCCTAAGCTGTTTTTCAAAATACTAACCATGATTAGTCTTTTGTCATCTATAATTTGGTCCTTCTCTAGAATATTTATAGTCAGGTTTATAGAGAATGACTTACATGTAATTATTTGTCCAAATAGTTGTTTTTCTTTAAATATTTCTCTTATTGTTTTTTTTTAATTTTTCCCTTCAAAACTTTATAACTGCTGTCTGCTGATGGCATTCTGCATAAGAACAACTTCTAACAATAACAACCTGAGGAATTCTATAAGACAGAATTACACTTAAGCATGGACTTTATTTAGGTAACTCCACTCTGACAGTCATTCCTTCTAAACTTCTTAAGTTTCTTAAATGTCAGTAAAATGTTTATTGCATTCACTTCCACCTGTATGTCACTTCGCCCACATGAGGGATCAAATTAAACCAACCAGGAAATGTCATCCTGGTGATGAGGGGCCATGAAAGCCAACTATTCAAAGAAAGAGTTCAGAAAGTACAGTTCACAGACAAAAGGAGATGTTATAAGAATAGAAATGGGATCATTTTAGCCTGGTAGGGAAGCATATGTTTGTAATTCCAGAACCTGGGAGGTTAAAACATTAGGATCATGCATTCTAGGCTAGCCTGGGTTGCACAGTAATTGAAGGTGAGCCTGAACTGCATGGAGGCCCTGTCTCAAAATGAATACCAAAAATGAAATATAATGTGTGATCCCTTCCAAGATTAACTAAAGCTGAGAACTTATGGAGAAAGGATTCTAATGCATAGGTATTGATACTAAAGCCTTCCATATATCTCTGACAAAAGGCAAATATATGCCTTTGGCATAAAGCCTTTTATTTAAGTACATACAAAATTGAATTCCTACTGACTCTAAGCAATTATACAAGTCTATACTCAGGGAGATATTTAACAAGATGTTCTCTGCATAATTTATTTAATTGGATGTCTTCTTACTTTGGCTCCCTCTTGTATTCTGCTTTATGATAAAGTTTCTAATTGTAGGCTTAAAACATGGGCTCTTTTCACTTGTATATTTTGGCTATTATAGCTTGTCCCTTTCTCATGTCTTAGTTTATCCCTGGCAAGGATACCTACAAAGCCAGATTGGCTGACACCCTGAATCACTCAAGATTAAGCACTGGGCAGAAATTCTAACAGGTATTTAAAACTGCTCTTACTGAAAACAGTAACTCTTCACATGAACCTGCAAATTCTCTGCCTCCATTTTGTATCTGTCTCCTTTACTCTGAGATATTCTCTTCTTTGGTCACCTTATATTCCTAGAAGAATGGAACTGATAGATAAACTACTAATGATAAGAGACAAGACCATCCCAGACTAATCTTGAACAAATGGATCAAACAGACCACACCTTTGATCAAGACCATTTAATTACACATACCAATTCCCTCACTCCTAATCCTGCTATTTGTCTTATTTTAACCTCAATTTTTAACATTTTTTGTCAAATTTCTCACTTCCAGGTTATACAGTATCCTTGTACTCAGACAATACCAACAACTTCCCACTAGTACCTCTTCACCATTGGACACAATGGCTGCTTCATTTCATGGCCACTCTAGTCCTGCTGGTATAACAAAAGAAAGGACATTTCTCAACAGCCACCTCTACCTGAGCCTAACCAAATTTCCCAGGTCCTAACAGAGAGTAAGATTCTGGACTCTGAATACTTCTCTCCCCCACCACCCCATCCCCAGATCAACAGCAAGTACCTAGTGATCTTGTTGCCTGGACCCCTGAAATAATTTATGGTCCTAAGTCATTGGGTAAGGAATATTAAGATAGGAAGAAAGGAGGGAAATTCAAGAATAATTTCCTTTGAGAAGACAGAACCATACTAATGATCCAATCTGGATAAAATTGACATAATAGGCTATGCCTGAACCAATGACCAATATCCAGTATCAATATTAAGATAATGTTTCCTTATATCCTCCCTATAGAGCCCCTCTCCATATCAAGGTTTAACATGAAAGGGCAAAGAGAATGAAATGCATGCACCTATAACTGCCTCACCTCTTTGAGGTATAGTGTCTCTGTTTAGGCAGTTGGCTTTACCTAACCTGCCTCATGCCTCGAGCTGTACTTATGATTTGCTAATAAATCACTGTTTATTATTCCTCTATTTGTCACAGTTTATTTACTATACTAGGAGTAGTGTCCTGAACTTAGATGCTGTATCTAAGCACTAAGAAGCAGCTGTAACATTCTAAAACACTGATGACAATATCTCTCAAAACTCCAACAATGTTCTCTGCAAAAATAGAAAACTCCATCCTAAAATGTGCCTGGAATCTCAAAGAATTCTAAAAAGCCAAAACAATCTTAGAAAAGAACAAACAAGGAGGATTCACACTGGGCTACAATAATGCCCAGAGTGTGGAACTAGCCTAAAGACTGGAATATACACCAGTAGAATTACACAGAGACCCAGAAATGGATACATTCTCCTATAGTCAAATGGATTTTGATGCAATACAAAAATGACTCCATGAGGAAAGAAGACTCTCTTCAACAAACAGTGATGGGAAATTGGCTATATAGGTGAAACAAGGTGTTTTTGTTCCCATTCATATATATAGATTATATGTACATATATATATATATTTCCTGTAGCAGTTTCAAAATTTTTCCCATGTCAATCCATAAGCCTGGGATGTGGTATGCATCGTGGTTTCAACTAGGCAGGAGTCAGAGGATCACAGTCTGAGACTGAGCCCGGCAAATACACGAGAACTTGTCCAAAAAATAACTAACACAAAAAGGGGTTGGGGCATGGTTCAAGAATTAAAACACCTGACTAGCAAGCACAAGGCTGTGAGTTCAAACCTTAGTACTGCCAAAAAATTGAAACATAACTAAAAAGTAACACGTTAGCAAGTATGTTTAAAAAAATGGAACCCATATTTGTTGGAAGGAATATAAAATAGTTCACACACTATGGAAAATAGTATGGCATTCCCTAAATTAAAAATAGAATTACACATGATTCCGCATTTGCACATCTGTGTATATCTTCAAAAGAATTGAAAAGGGATTCCAGGGTACATTTGTACATACAGGTGGATACAGCATTATTTACAATGTAAAACAAGGAGGTGACTCAAATGTCCTTCAACAAATGAATACAAAAGCCAGTACAGTGTAAATATACAACAGAAAAATATACAACCTTAAAAGGGGGGAAATTCGGATATGTTACAGCATGAATGAATACTACTAACTTATAGTCATTATGGATTATAATTTTTAACAAAGTATTATGAACTATTGTTTAAAGTACTCTATGGAACAATTCAACTTCAGATAAAAATGCTGTGTCCTTTTTTTGCCAATTCTTTGCAAGGCAAGTCTGATTTATCTGTGATGTGTCTCTTTGGGTCCTTTCTCTCCCAAGCCCCAGTTACCTCACTAAAATCCCAAAAGCATTTCAAATTCTTTTTTTTCTTTGTTCTTCAGCTCCAAGCTAATCCAGGCAGTACTCATGTATCATCACAGTACTTGGCAGGATGAGACAAGAAGATTGGGAATACAAGGCTAGCCTGTACCTCTTATGGAGAGTTTGTGTTACAAAAGAGAAGAAAAAGTCAGCTCCCAATTTGAGTCAATCATCCTCCAACCCCACACTTCCAAAGACTTCCTCTCTCCCAGGAAAAGACCCAACAAATGGCTTTCTTTTGCATAAAAGTAATGCAACCAAGTCCTTGGAGATTAATACATGTGTCTTCCTGGAACAAAGCACGGTGAAAATCCAAAGTAAATATATAACATCATATTTCATGTTCAGTGAAACAGAATGAATAAAAAGAAGCAGACTGAAAGTATACTCGAAAAGGTAGTAGACTTTTTAGTTAAGAAGACTTTCCTAAACTATTAATCTCTGAGCTTCAGAATCCAGTCAGTATAATACATGTTTTTACAGCCTAGTATATTCTGATCAATCCTAAAAATGTAAATATAACATATTTGACCAAACAATCATTTAATGCATAGTATTAACAGCTATAAGAGGTTTGTATTAAATAGTCTATGCAGAAACATCAGTATCATGATACTGGCTTTGAACGTGACATACTCCTGCCCAGTAATGATAGACAGGCAAATGCAAAAACAGAATATTTAAGAACTCTGTGCCAAGTGGAACACTATTAGTCAAGAATTACTTCATTTAATTGTTGGCAGAACCACTCATTATCCTTCAGTATACATAACAATTACAAAAAAGAATTCGTTGATTCATTAATTATTCTTATTTTTTATTATTGTGCTGGGTGAGAGTACATTGTGGCATTTATAATTTTTCTTAGAATATATCTTAAATATGTAAAGTGTTAAAGGAAATTATGCAAATATGAGCAAACATAGAAAACTTCTATAAAAATCCTGGAAACAAGATAATTTACATATTTCACAACAAAAATATGAAAGAAGAGGGTACTGTCACTAAAATATATTAATTAACTCAGAACCTCCAGGTGCTATAATACAGGTACAGAGTTTCTATTCAAAACTTTCTCCTGCTCAAAGTTTTTCTCAGGGCAACTTTAACATCTTTGTTCCTCAAGCTGTAGGTTAAGGGGTTCATCATGGGAACCACAATAGTATAAAACACAGAAGAGATCTTTCCCTCATCAATAGACTTAGCTGAGGAGGGTTTCAGATACATAAATGCACCTGATCCAAAAAACATAGAAATAGCAATTATGTGAGAACTGCAAGTGCTAAAGACTTTGGACCTGCCCTCAGTGGACCTCATATGAAGGATGCTGGAAACAATGAAACCATATGAGATAAAGATAACAAGACTTGGCAAAATGATGTCTTTTCCCGTTACAATGAAAATCTCCAGCTGATTGATGTGGGTTTCTGTGCAGGAGAGCTGAAGTAAAGGGATGGCATCACAGAAGTAGTGGTTGATGATGTTTCCACCACAGAGAGTCAGTCTCAGGATGAATCCAGTGTGGATCATGGCACTAGAAAATGCCATCAAGTATGATCCAATTATTAGGTATGAACAAACTTTAGGGGACATGGCTATGTTGTACAAAAGTGGATTGTAAACAGCCACATAGCGATCATAGGCCATTGAGGTCAGCACATAGCATTCAGAAATTACAAAAAAGCAAAAAAAGTAAAACTGGGTCATACATCCCATGTAGGAGATAACATTCTTCCTTAATATGAAGTTCATGAGCATTTTGGGTGTGATCACAGAGGAATAGCAGAGGTCTATGAAGGACAAGTTCATGAGGAAAAAGTACATGGGGGTGTGAAGGTGTGAATTCAGCACAATAAGAATTATCAGTCCTATATTCCCGAAGGCAGTTACCATATATATCATTAAAAACAGGAAGAACAGGGGTACTTGGAGGTCATTTTGGTCTGTTAATCCCATGAGAATGAGTTCATTGACCAAAGAGCTGTTTGCAGGATTCATTACTCTTTCTTTTGTTAAAAAAAAAAAAACCAAAAACCTGTGGTCACAAAAAAAAAGCATGACATTAGATAACAACTCATAACTCCCAAGAATATCTTCTCCTACAAGTATGAAATGTATGAAATACATGCTGGGAATGAATAAAATTAACAAACCTGAAAATTAACAAACCTGAATCAGAGAACCTGCCTCAAATGCTGCCATGAAAATCAAGGGTATTACCTTTCCCTTTTTCAAGGCTTAACAACAAAGTATAGGTAGGAACATCACAAATTTAAAGAAAGAGCCAAGACCCATTCTATTACTTATAAACATGATTGCTAGAAAACCAAGGGAGGAGGAACAAGAGTTTGAACAAGTATATGATTACCCTTCTTTAGTCTCATCATTCCTTTATTGCTTCAGCTTTTCCTTCAAAAATAAAATTGAATTCTGAAACTTTAATGACATGGTGCTGACATCCAATGTAGAACAGACTGTGATGGAGTTGGATCCATGAACACTGTTTCCTATCTAAGACAAAAGATACAGAGTTTAATAATGATTAAGTTACCACCCCATGTCACAGGAAACTCCTAAATACAGAAGGTGAGATCTGTCTATGGAGAAGAAACTTATTGATTCTAACACTGCAGCCCCTGTTGACTGTGAATACTCTCTGTTCCCCTTTCAAAGAGATTTTGGACCAGTTTCACTTAAATCATATTTTTGAACAAAATGTAAAGAAAATGACATATGTTAGGACACTGGACTTCATCTCAAAACATGAGGATATTATTCAAAACATAGTAAACAAGGCATTGAAAGAGAGGTACTTCATGATCACGCCTACATGTGCCATCTAAAATAGCTATATTTACATAGCAGAGAATAGGTTTGGTGATTGTCAGGGCCAGTGAGAGAGAAAACGATGTGTGTGTTCAGAAACTACAAAGGTTCAGTTACACAGCATGATTAAATTCTGAGGATCCAATGTACTGCATGTTAATAACAGTTAACAATACTGAACTTTGTAAAAAGAATCAGGTTATGGGATACTTCTTAAAATTGCCTTCTTGTTACACATAAAACATATTCAAAACTCCAAAGATAACTATGTAGAGGTGTTTGCTATACTAATTACATCTTTGTTGGGTCATTTTCCTAATGGAAATGTTTGTCAATAAAGCAGGTAGTGCCCTTTTTATTTACCACTTAACATGTTAATTGTACCTTAATAAAGGTGTGTTTTTTAAGGTAAGCCATTAATATAAATAAATTTTAAAACTTACCCTCTTTAGCCATGAAAATTTTGGGTTTTCTTTATCATTTTTTACCTCTGAGTTCCTGAATGGGCAATATCAAGTCCTAAGGCTTTATTGTTTTTCAAATTTAAGAAGCAGCTCCTACTAAGTTTTTCATATTCTGTGAAAATCTTTCTGAACCATAGGCATGATTTATAATAATAATTCTTAGTGGTCTGATGCATCTGAGAGAAATAAACACCCCTTATTCTTACCACACTTGCCATCGGATGAGACACAGAATGTTTATCATGAATTTAATGACATCAAGCTTCAGGCTATATGCAAGGTGGAAGCTTTCCCAGTCTCTACCCTGGGAAAAGATTCCACGTACAAAAGAGAAATGAGGTGTCTGTGTTTGCATGGCTTGTCTTTAGTTCTTTAGGGACACAAAATTTTACTCAGGTATTCCCTTCTCTTTAGGGATTTTACATCCTTCATGCTTGAGCCAATATTAAATTCCCATTTTCCCATCACCTTGATCTCTTAAGGGAAAATGATTGTTTCCTTTCTTTATCTTTAACAGTGTGCTCCACAGAGTCCAACTTCAAGCTTCCTGTATCTTTACCTAAATTTTTAAGGAGTGTAGCACCTTACTTCATGTGTTTTCACCCTTGTCATATCTCCAAAATCACTTCTTATGGGTTGCATTTTCAACAGATTTTGGGTTAAATACTTACTGGGAATTTCTAGCTGAGTATCCTCCTGAATTCTTAACTCTGAAACTTCAAGGATAAGATCTGAGATTTCTAAACTCTCAAAAAAGAACAGGGCTATAGAATTACAGAATCTGTGCTTGAATCCCCCATACACTTTAAAATCATGATTCACTGGACAAGTTATATAAAATATCTGTGCCTAGGGTTCATTTTTTGTGTATGAATGATGGTAAAAACAGCATGTATTCATTGTATCGTTGTGATGTTTCAATGAAAAAAGTATAAGGTAAATAGTTAAAACAGTCTTCAATATGGGAAATAGAGAAATGTCAGCTGTGAGTTCAGGAACTATTTCATGTATGAGAGGTTTATCTCCAGATATATTTCTCATTAATTTGAAATATTCTAAGTTGAAAACACATTTGTTTATTTATGTATTCATTCATTCATTTATTGGTAGACCTGGGTTTTGAACTTGGGGCTTTATGTTTACTGACAGTCACTCGACCACTTGAGCCTTGCTTTCAGCCCTTTCTTTTTCTTTCTTTCTTTTCTTTTTTTAAATTTTTAAACTTTTTTATTCATTTATTCACATGTGCATACATTGGGTCATTTCTCCACCCTTTCTCCTTCCCCCACCCTCTCCGCTCTCCCCTACTCACTTCCAGGCAGAACCTGTTCTGTCCTTATCTCTAATTTTCTTGAAGAAAAGACATAAGCATAATAAGGAAGACAAAGCATTTCTGCTAGCTGAGTTAAGGATAGCTATACAGAAATATTCCTAGCATTGTTTTCAAGTACACATGTGTTATAATCCATGTTGATTCATCTCTAACTGATCTTTACACTGGTTCCTGATCCCCTTCTCATGTTAACCTCTGTCACTTTAAGGTTTCTATATTAGTTCCTCTGGAGTAAGGACATCAACCACTTTCATGTTTTGAGTTTTCTACCTATTCCTATAGCTCCCGTGTGCTCTCCCCTTGTCATGTGATCCAAATCCAACCGCATTGCTGCACTTGCCCTAGATCTAAAGTCCACATATGAGAGAAAACATATGATTTTTGGTGTTCTGAGCCTGGCTAACCTCACTCAGAATGATGTTCTCCAGTTCCATCCATTTACCTGCAAATGATAATATTTCATTCTTCATGGCTGAGTAAAATTCCATTGTGTACAAGTATCACATTTTCTTGACTCATTTGTCAGTAACGGGGCAGCTTGGTTGTTTCCATAACTTGGTTATTGTGAATAATGCTACAATAAACATGAGTGTGCAGGTGCCTTTGGAGTAACCTGTGTAACATTCCTTTGGGTATATTCCCATGAGTGGGATTGCTGGATCATATGGCAAGTCTATGTTTAGATTTTTAAGTAGCCTCCAAATTTTTTTCCAGAGTGGTTACACTAGTTTGCATTCCCACCAGCAGTGTATGAGGGTTCCTTTTTCACCACATACTCACCAACACCTGTTTTTGGTGGTGTTTTTGATGGTTGCTATTCTAACAGGGGTGAGGTGGAATCTTAGTGTGGTTTTCATTTGCATTTCCTTTATGGCTAGAGATGGTGAGCATTTTTTCATGTGTTTTTTGGCCATTTGAATTTCTTCTTTTGAGAAAGTTCTGTTTAGTTAGTTGCCCATTTCTTAATTGGTTCATTGATTTTAGGAGAGTTTAGTTTCTTAAGTTCCCTATATATTCTGGTTATCAGTCCCTTGTCTGATGTATAGCTAGCAAATATTTTCTCCCACTCTGTGGGTGTTCTCTTCAGTTTAGAGGCCATATCTTTTGTTGTGCAGAAGCTTTTTAATTTTATGAAGTCCCATTTATCCATCCTTTCTCTTAGTTTCTGGGCTGCTGGGGTTCTATCGAAGAAGCCCTTGCCTATACCTATTAGATCCAGAGTGTTTCCTGCTCCTTCCTATGGAAACTTCAGAGTTTCATGTCTGATATTTAGGTCCTTGATCAATTTTGAGTCAATACTACACAAGGTGATAGACACAGATCTAATTTCAGTTTCTTGCAGACAGGCAACCACTTTTCCCACCAACATTTGTTGAAGAGGCTGTCTTTTCTCCATCGTATATTTTTGGCACCTTTATCAAAAATGAGGTGGGTATAGTTGTGTGAATTTATATGTGAGTCCTCTATTCTGTTCCACTGTTCTTCATGTCTGTTTTTGTGCCAGTACCATGCTGTTTTTATTGCTATTGCTTTGTAATATAGTTTGAAATCAAGTATTGTGATACCTCCAACATTGCTCTTTTTGCTGAGTATTGCCTTGGTTATTCGCAGTCTCTTGTTTTTCCAAATGAACTTTAAGGTAGATTTTTCAATCTCTGTGATGTAAGTCATTGGGATTTTGATGGGAATTGCATTAAACATGTAGATTGCTTTTGGTAGTATAGCCATTTTTACTATGTTGATTCTACCAGTCCATGAGCATGGGAGATCTTTACATATTCTGTAGTCTTCCCTGATCACTTTCTTCAGAAGTTTGTAATTCTCCTTGTAGAGGTCATTCACATCCTTTGTTAAATTTACTTGTAGAAGGAATGTACCTCCACATTGTATATGACAAACCTACAGCCAACATCATACTTAACAGTGAGAAACTGAAACCATTCCCCCTAAAATCAGGAATAAGACAAGGGTGCCCACTATGCCCACTCCTATTCAACCTAGTACTGGAATTTCTAGCCAGAGCAATTAGGGAAGAAGAAGAAATAAAAGGAATACAAATAGGTTAAAAAAACTGTCAAAATATACTTATTTGCAGACGATGTGATCCTATACCTTAAAGACCCAAAAAACTCTACTCAAAAATATTTATGCATCATATACAGCTTCAGCAAGGTGGCAGGATACAAAATCAATTACAAAATTCATTAGCTTCTCTATACACCAACAAGTAACAAACTGAGAAGAAATATATGGAAACAATTCCATCCACAATAGCCTCAAAAAAATCAGTCCTTTCTTCTGTTGCTTTTTTTTTTCTTTTGAGATAGTGTTTTGTATTTTGCCTATGTCAGCATTGACTGTGATCTGCTACTCTAAGCTTTTTTTAC